CATTTATTTATATATATATATATATAAAATTCCCAGTCCCCCCAAACACCACCCACATATAACAATATAATTCCCAGTCTTACCCACCCCACCCCACACCCACCCGTAAGTTAAATACACAGTCCCCTCTCCGGCTTACCTTGTTGCAGGGAGGAGGCTCTGAGCAGCGCCACGATCACCGATCCATTTATATAGTTGCGATTAGTAATGTCTGCTGCAGACATTACTAATCTAATCAATCCTTTCGGCCTGCGTTTAGCAAAGACGCCGTCCGAAAGGATCCAAGTGCTGGCACAGAAGCAGCTATGCAGTCTGCATCCGACAGAGATGCCGACGTGTAGCTACAACCGCAAGTCTGGTACGCGGTCCGTGACCGTGTACAAGACTTGTGAGCAGGCTGCGGGCCACATCGTACCGGCTCACTGGCCCGCGGGCCGGTACTTTGAGACCACTGGATTAAAGATTGTAAACTTGTTTGTAGACAGATTTGATTGTTTTTTGTATAAAGAAAATCTCCCTGGCTCCAGTGGTTTGTTATAAAGCTCCGCAATGTTTCTGACTCCAGTGGCTTGCTATAATGCCCAGCAATGTGGCTAGATATAGTAGTAGAATGGAAGGGGACAAAAGGCTCCCCACAAAGACTGCATACCTCCTTAGCCACCAGGTGCCACCATAGAAGAAAAAAAAGACCCTTGAAGATTTTTGCATGTATAGTTACACAGATGTATAGCACAATGGGTGCACCAAATCCAGTTGCAGTCTATACAAATGTAACTAAAGTAGAACTTTAGTTCATGAAGACAGTATATGTATACTGTATTAGAGCACTCCAAGCTTCAGGTTAGGTTTTTTCCACAAATGCATAATAAGTTAAGGGACACATTTTTAGTAATTGTGCTCCAAAAGATAAAGTACAGCACTAAAAAACAATAATGTAAACAATAGTGCAAAAAACTATTAAAGATTGTACACAATTCTAATACATAGTGCAACAATCATGTAAACAAATAATTTCACCTTAATGAGGGGAATTTATAAAAACTGGAGCATACAAAATCTGGAGCAGCTGTTCACAACAACCAATCAGCTTCTTTCTTTAATTTTAGGTGTTTTTCCCCATAGTTCTCTTTAGGGTCACAGAAGGAGGACATATACTAACTTCCTCCCATGACCCAAAGCTCAGTATATCGCAGGCTATTGCCAGCGATATACTGAGAGTGCCGCAGCCGGGACGGATCCCGACAATACTGTCTGGATCCACCCAGCATGATTGACAGCTGGCTCTGCCTATCTAGAGGCAGAGCCAGCTGTGCCCTCCCCGTCCGTTCCTCCACTCAGTCCTGGAGGATCAGGGAGGGGGGAGTCCCTGCGGGGAGCGGTGACTGACAGTCACCGCTAAACTGTAGGGAGACAATCGGGAAGTGAGCGGATCGGCTGCATGTTTCTGCTCACTTCCCAATCAATAGAGCAGACCTGTGACAGCTTCTTTGTCACAGGTCGGCTCTAACTATGAGGATGAGTGGAAATCACTCACCTCATAGTTCTCCTTTAACTGAACAAACTGAAGAGAGAAGCTGATTGGTTGCCATGGGTAACTGCTCCAGATTTTGTCTGCTCCAGTTTTGATAAATTCCCCCATTGTGTACTGTGCAAGTGCATGGTGCTAAAGTTACTCATGATTAATTGTGAGACACCAGTTATTAATCACTAAGATGTGGTATAATGCGGTTCCTATGGTGCAGCTGCCTACATGGAAGCCCATTAATGCTCATTACTAATTTTGCAAAATTGCTCAATGCTGCAGCTATACATTGTACCATATTGATGCCATTGTACCACATATTAGCGATTAATCATTTGTCTTCTGCAATAACATGTGGCTGTGGTGCAACTAAACCATTTAAAGTCACTATTGTAGTTTAGGCCTTAGGCCTGGTTCACACTGAGCGTATTGTCGCAGCTGAATAAGCACAACAAAATGTTTCACAAAAAAAAATCCCATTCATTCTTATGGCCCTGTTCACACCTAAATGTTTTGTTGCAATAAGCAAAACACCTGCAGCTGGAAAAAGTATATAAGCTTCTTTTTGGTAGATTACAGCTCAGTTTGTTTCCATAGAGTCAATAGGAAACGATTGGAAACACGCGTTTCAATTGGTTTTGTGTGTTTTTGTCCATTTACATAATTGTGTCACAATCATCTGCTCCTAAAAACGTGCAACTAAAAACGCACAACGTGCAACAAAAAATGTGCATTTCAACGTGCAAAAACGCTGTCATCTAGGTGTGAATCAGGGTTAAAGTTACTGCTATGCAGCTTTTTATAAACATGCACGCTCGGGTTGACATAAGAAAACGGCCAAAATTGTTGCTGCTTGTAATACCAAAACAGGTTTTATCTTTGTTTGCAAGAGAAAATGAAACATAACAATTCTATACAGGTTGCAATGGGTAACCGCTCCACATTTACTCCTATTTCTGTATTTTCAGAATTCAATACCCTTATTGACAGACATGCCATTATTAAAGGAGAACTATGAGGTGAGTGATTTCCACTAATCCTCATAGTAAGAGCCAACCTTTGAAAATAAGCTGTCACAGGTCGGCTCTATCGATCGGGAAGTGAGCAGAAACATGCCGCCGATCAGCTCACTTCCCGATCGTCTCCCTGCACTGAGCGGTGACTGTCAGCCACCGCTCCCCGCAGGGATTCCCCCTCCCCTCTCCGATCCTCCATCCCCGAGTGGAGGAATGAACAGGGGAGGGGGCGGGCACAGCTGGCTCTGCCTCTACCCTGTTTCCCCGAAAATAGGACCTACCCCGAAAATAAGACCTAGTACTATTTTGGAGAATTGCTAAAATATAAGACCTACCCCGAAAATAAGACCTAGTTGTGACCATTTTCAGGGCCGGTGGTGGCATAAGGGGGAACATGACGAGCCGCAAGAGAGGCGGGAGAGAATCAGCACTGCCAATGAAGCCAGCGCTAGAGGAAGCAGAGCCGCATAAGCCAATGCTTCCTCTATAGTGTCGGCTCCTGTCACAAGCGGAGTGATACCAAATGCACACCGCCTGTGAGGAATCGATAGTGAAAGTGCACTTCACTCATTCTGGCCAGAGATTGGTTACCAAATTGCTCTTGGAAAGGTAAGGCACCCCTGATTGCCCTGATCACTCTATTCTTAATTTTGCCATTTTGGATTATTTGATTTGGATATGGATTTGCATTAACTTTGGATTGTTGTACATAAAAAAAAAAATAAGACCTACCCCGAAAATAAGACCTAGTGTGTTTTTTTGAGCCCAAAAAAATATAAGACAGTGTCTTATTTTCGGGGAAACACGGTAGATAGGCAGAGCCAGCTGTCACTCACACAGCTGGGTGGATCTCGACTGTATTGTAGGAATCCGTCCCAGCTGCGGCGCTCTCAGTATATCGCGGACTGAGCTTTTCAGGGTGTCTTCTAATGCCATTAGAGGGTCTGGATTCAGTTAGGGGTATCTTTTGAAATCCTGTTGTCTTCAGCAAAATTTGGAGAAGCAGGGCTCCACAAAATCTTTTCACTATTATTAACACCAATCATATATACAAATGCTGCTCACAATGCAAATTCATGCATGAAAGCCTCTTTTCTGACGCATAGCTGGGCCCCCAAGGGCCATGAACTGCTAATGTTTGCATCCCCTGCTATCCCAACTCTTAGTCACTAAAATCTTTATACCGATACATTAGAACATTTCAGAAGGTGGGGGCTTTCAACCCACTGCAGGAACAGTGACAGCCTGACTGTCATCACTCATTTTAAACTGTATGTGACTGACAAGATCCTTGATTTCTAATGTCAAAAACTACACACAAGCTTTTCTGTTTGATCTCACCCATGATCAATAGCAGAAATGTTTCTCTTTTATTCTCCTCTCTTCCTTGCCCATATACTGCTACTATCCTAAGTCTCTCTGTAGTGGAGCTAGCACAGTGATGAACACAGCAGACTGCCTCTCTTTCGATCTCCCTCTTTTCCTTTTTGTTTCCTCTCTTCTCTCTCGCTCTGTGTCCATCATGCAGAACATAAGACAAGCAGCCACAGAGGCCTTTTGTCGCCTGGGTAAGTGCCTCTATCAAACGCCATATGATGGTGTAAAAATACCTTTTTAATATGGTTTTTAGCTCCCACATTGAAAACGGTAAAGCTCTTCATTTCATTCTCATCTGTGCAGCCTGCAGCTATCTACTGCCTGAGGCAGGTGTGTAATACAGCATTATTGCTCGGGTGAGGCACTGGCATCCTCCATTTCTATAGTTAACCTTTTGACGAGGGCATCTTTCATGCATCACAAACTAAGAAGCTGTAGGCCGTAGCTTTACGGAGAATGTAGGAATTAAATGATTAACCATAACTATAACCGATCTCATCAGTGGTTTGTTAAATGGCGTGGGTTTCTTACATTTGGTATTTGGATTCTATTTATGTGGTAAACGGGTTACACTGGTAACCAGTCGTGAGTTATATTTTAAAGTCAGTGCTTTGCTTTACCAGATTGTATGTTCAAGCCCTATTAAATGGACCACAGGCTTTGCAGCATTCTGAATCTGTGTGTTTTTGTGTGTTTGATTTAATGTTCCCAAGGGGCTTAATAGATGCTGCCAAATTGAATTTCTGTCCCCAAGGTCTCTTGAGGTGACAGAGAATTGTATTCAGCCATAATAACCCGTCAGCTTTCTTTGAGGCCCATCACTCTGGGTATCTGTTGCGTAAAAGCATTTGTTGTATATAAGAAAAAAGATTTGGTTTTAGCATTCCTTACCGGAAATATCTTGTTACCCCTAGACAGCCGCAGAAAGACACTTGTACCAGGCCAGCCATGCAACCTTGTCTTGAATTGTATTGTAATTGTAATGTCTTTCTTATATTGTAAAACTCTGCGCAAACTGTTGGCACTATATAAACCCTGTATAATAATAACAATAGTTGGACCCTGAAGATCATTATGTGGCATCTTTGCATGCTTGGATTGGTCCACTAGAGGATACTCAAGTGGGTTCCTGCTACCTACAAATACAGGGCCACTGCCATATGCACTAATTGACACCCCATTAGACTACAAAGCTTGGCTTGCCACTTTATGCCCATGGCTCACCCACTTCCATGGCATTTGAGTCCCGCCTGAAGTTGCTGACTTTAAGGTGTCAGCCCTCCTCCCAGTACCCGAGTAAGCCGGCCTGCTGCTGTGGATGTTATGTGAGGAAGCCCACCCGCTTACCCTCTTCCACCTACTAGTGGAACCTGCAGCTGAAGCGGGTATGAATGTAAAACCCCTGAGTTTCTAATAGTACATTAATTTGGGCTGATCTGAGCCCTGCAGGTGCAGGCATTGGGGCTAGGGCATGCTATTGTTCAATGGCATGGCAGTTGACTAATGCTTTTAAATTAACATTTAGAATGTAAACTAGATGTACAGAACTGTCTATCTTAACAAAGGGTTAAAGCTCTCTAGACTTGGGTGGTACATGTTAATGCACTTAAAAACAAACCACTTTGTCCTTAATTTGCACATTGCCATCTATTCTAAGCAATAGAAGCTGCCATATAGTGTCCTATGTATAAACCTTCAAGGAAACCGCTAGAAAGGTAAAATATATTTGAAAAAATATTTTTAGGTATGCTTTGTGAATGCAAACACATAACAAATATATAGTGGGCATTTCTCAAATGTGACTACTAAACTGACCCCCAAACATATAGCATCAATTATAAAATAACGCTAAAGGTTTTAGCATAGTAAGGTCATATGCACAGATGGGGGCTGTCATGCTTTATATGCCCAGGCTATTTGTAGTCCCAGTCTGACCCGAAGCGTGAACTAAACAATTTAGACAATGTGGTTATTTACTGAAGGAGCAAAATGTCCACTTAGCCCACTGAACCTGTGCTTTCCCTATTATCTAACCATATGCAGAGGAATGTCTATATTTTTTTTCATTCTCCTGCTTATGATTATTTGAAATAAACACAGGCTCATTAAGGTAACTGTACTATTTGCTCCTTTATTAAATCAGTCTCTGGGCCGGAGCACACCTAGGCGACACCTCACCGCGCAGCAACCGTGCACGATTGTGAGCTAATTGCTTCACGGTCAGGAATGACCAAGGTGTGAACCAATCGCGCTGTGGGTGCCATTATTTTTGAATGGCACCCCAGTCGCGCCGGGCGGATCACGTGGTTTCCCGCCGCGATTCTGCCCGTGCTCCCGAACACAAAACAGCCGCGCGTTGAGTATCGCAAAAAAAAGGACATTTACCTTTTTTGTGCAATTGCTACGTGGATGTCACCCCATTTAAATCAATAGGGCTGCGTGGCAATCGCTGCCTGCATTGTGCACGTCCGTATTATCACGGTCTGCACCAGTCCTCAATGACATCACTAAACTATGGTATGCCTAGCAAGTAAAATTCCTCACACTGTCTCTTCTCCTCCTTCAGGATCTGAGGAGCACACATTATGCTGCCCACACACATTTTAATTCCATTATAAGATCCAATTGGTTTGATAATCCTACTTAACAAAGAAAGTTGATCAAGTGTCAGCTTTTCACACATTTTTCAAAGGAGAATTATGGGGAGAGTGAAATACACTAATCCCTATAGTTAGAGCTGACGTGTGACATTGCAGCTGTCACACGTCGGCTCTATAGATCGAGAACTGAGTGATCACATACCACTGATTGCTCGGTTCCCGCTCTTTTCCCAGCAGAGTGTTCACTGTCAGTCACCACTCCCCACAGGGATCCCCCCCCTCCCCTCTCCATTTCTCCTGCGCTGATTGGAGGAACAGCCGGGGGAGGGGATGGGCACAGCTCAGAGTCTCAGAGCCTCTAGAGTCTGGCAGCAGCACGGCTCTGCGCTGTCAGTATATAGCGTGCATTAGCAAAGAAAAAAGTTGAGCCATAGTTCTCTTTTAATTTACTTCTCTGAATTCAAACAGAAAAGGAAGGGATCAGACAAGTTGTAACATTTTAACATTTTTTTTTCTTTTGATCTAGCCTCTTGGAACATGCAAAAACAAATGTTTTTTGGACGTAGATCAAAATTATGGTTAAAATTGTAAATATAGTTCAGCTTGATTTAAAGGAGGACGATTGGGAGAGTAAAATGTACCCTTCCCAATAGTTTGAGCAGGCGTGTGCCACTGCAATAATTTCACTCCGGCTCTATAGATTGAGAACTGAGCGATCACAAACTGTTGATCGCTCAGCTCACGGTCTCCATGCAGAGAGCAGTGACTGTCAGTCACTGCTCCCTACAGGTATTCCCTCCTCCCCTCTCTGTTCCTCCAGCTTTCACTGAAGAGGAGGGGGCAGGCACAGCTGGCTCTAGCGAGGCAGAACCATCTGTCAAACAGGCAACGTGTTGGATCCCGTCAGAATTGTCAGGATCTCTTCCGGTTGCAGCGCGGCTCCGCGCTGTCAGCATACAGTGGGCAGTAGCCCGCTGTATGCTGAGTTTGGGTCACAGGAGTACATTAGTAAATACTCTCCTGTGACCCGAAATAACTAAAGCCAAAAAAAGTCAAAAATTCTGACTGAATTCCCCCCCCCCCAAAAAAAAAAGTTATTGTGTGGCCAACATATGCTGTGCCATCCTCATCTGTCTGTATATGGACAACTTTATGTCTCTGACAATACTAACTGTAGCATAAAAATGTACCCCGCAAAATTATTAAAAACACACGCTTTATTTTTCATCAGTCAGAATTGTGGCTATGGATCACTGCATTTTGTACTTTGCTTCATTTAAAGATGAGCAACAGGAAGCAGGCATGCCAAATTTAGATGAGCTGCATTAGTTCTCGTGAAGGCCACATTTGCATAATTGAAATACTATGGCAGCAATGCTTTCGGGATCAGCATACCATTTATAAAGCTTTTTTAAAAATTAGTCTGAATTGTAAAAAATGTGTTTCATCTATTACATTTAAATCCTTAAGATGGCAATCACTAAAAGATTTCTTTCATTGGGCCTGTAGACTGAACAAAAAAAAATCTAACAGATTCCTCTATTTACGTTAAACAGTTTGGATGGATGATTCCCCTACTGCAGCGCTTGTATTCTGACAGGCATCAGCCTCCGCTGTCAGAACACATGAAGAGTGACTGCAGATGATTGGCACAACTGTTTGCACAACATTTTTCAGCCTGGCTTCTTCGACAAGTCGACAATTGAATTTTGTTGAAGGAGCTGTACCAGCATTGCAAACTATTATAAGAATTTTGTCCAATTCCTAATGATTGGCTAATGTTATAACTTGCATGGATGGATTGAGTGGCCGCCCTTGTGAGCATGTAGCCCCAAAACACCATTTGCAAAATGTCTGCCCTAAAATGGACCTAAACTCAAAAAGTGAAACAAAATCTACATTTTATCCCTCCTAAAAAAAAAATCAGTGCAATTTCTGCAAGGTTATATATGGGTTCTAAGGGAGTTTCACGTGAGTCTCAATTAACAGCCAGCATGCATCCATTATAACATATGGCCCAACTTCAGCTAAACCATTATTTATAGCTATGAGTAGAGTGAGGAAGAATTAGAATTTCCTTCAGGTGTTAAATGCTGTCTGTGTCCCCACTGGAGAGACACCACTTCCTTTTTATGTCTGACAGGAGGTGACAGAATCTTCCCAATATGGTCACAGAGGTAAAAAAAACAAACCTTGCAGAGCCTCTAACTCTTCCCTACTGATGTAATTTACATATTGTGCCTCAAACCTGTCACATAGACAGGAAATGAAGAAAAATTGGGGACACAGGTAGCAGTAAGAGGTTCACAGATATTCTGAAGCATTGGTTTGTTAACTGGAGTTGCAGTTTAAGAAAGGGATTTCAGGGGCGTGGCCAGCAGCCGAATGTGAGCAGACGTCTGTAGGGGAGCAATCATAGGGACTTGCCCTTCTCTTGTACGCAGATGAGGGTGGATAGAGCGGGACGGTATGTGTTCCTATACTGTACTATCCTAGAGCTGACTTGTGTTATTGCATCTGTCTATATCCCACCGCCATTCTCCAGTGCTGTGCTTAAAGACTTAGCTCACCTCCTAGCGGATACGCTACTGCTCCCTGTCCTAGTGGTAGGGGACTTTAATGGGGTTTTGAAATATGCTCCCCTTCCCTCCCTCCCCCTCTTGGATTATTTGTCTGCTGGCTTGCTACTGGGTTTTTGTTTTTGGTTTCTTTTTTTTGTTTTTGTTTTTGTGTTTGTCTACTGTACGTGTAAAATGTGTAAAATCAATCAATAAAAACTATCTGATTTAAAAAAAAGAAAGGGATTTCAACTGAAAGAATGGTATGTGGGATGCTCCAGCACCAGACCATACTGGAAAATGGTAGACTAACATAATGGTCTTGTTGGGTAAGATCCACTACACCAAGAACACACAGCCCTGCAACAAAATTATATGGTGCAGAGGTTCCTGCACCAAAACCTGATTCATCGAAAGAGGGCCTGTTTTTCTCTGTACACAACAAAGCCGTTTTTATGATATAATTTTCCTAACAATGCAAACTGGACTAGGAAATGTAATCTGTTATATCCCAGTTGCATATACCATTTGTTAGTGAATAAAGCAATATATAGCTGTATGTACTTCATGCATGTATCCACTTAAGTTTTCAAAAATCGTCTTACTCAGAGGTTGAAAAATACAGGACGCAAGCTTAAGAGAGAAGCAAGGTCTTGGTGCTCGGCTAATAACCACAAGATATCTGGCTCTATGACATAACCCTAGCTGAGTAGATAAGATTACAGTATCTATTCAGGGAGACAGTTTAACTGTGTGTCTTATAGCAATATTTGATGAATAGGCAGTGTAGGAAGCTTTCAGCAGTATAGCTGACCACTCTGGCTGGCCGTAAACCAATGATAAAAGCAAGTCATGCTTCTAATTTTGAATAATGTGTATAATAATTGGATGTTTTCCGAGCCCCTAAGATATGTTAATGGCAGCCTCCAGTGTGTGGAGGCAATTATCACACACCAAATATTTCTCACTCACTGGAAAATATCCCTACAATAGAGCACAATTGGTCATTGTTATGCAGATTACTACAGCTGCACCACTGTCATTGTCAGATGGCTATTATGGTAGGTCTTGGTTCTCCAACAACACAATCATGGCTTCATATTTTGCCACCCGTTAAAGTTTTGTGCCATTCTGTCGCCAAACTTTCACCACATGTGATAAATAGATTTTCAAGTTGAAAGGGAAAGTTGCATATTTTGTATGTACATGGTAAACTGTATTGGGATGGGTAGATTTTGTAATTGGCGTCAGTTGTGACTTTGATCAAAGGACTTTTTTTCCCAACAAATATTCTATTCATCTGTCCTAATAAAGGAGACATTTCCCAAGAAAAAAATAAAAAATCACTGTAAATTCACATCCAGATTAATTAAAAAAGTTAGACATTCACCAATGTGCCAGTGAAAGCCTAAAATATCACTGTAAACTACAGAAATAAGTTACTTTTTCACCAAGTATAGTTACCAAAGCTCTTTTCTTGCAATCATACAGATCAAGATAAATTAGATAAGCAAAACAACTGTAAGAACCTAATATATGCTTAGCAACATTCCCAGATCAAAAGCTGAAGCGATAAACCCATGTTTCAATATGTCCATGCTGAATCTGCACTGATGCACTCAAATTTTGCATAATTACTCTTTAACAATATCAAAATTGTCTCTCTATTACCGCCCATTCCTCAATGCTGCTCAATATTAGCTGGAAATGCATCTTGCAATCATACAGATCAATATAAATTAGATAAGCAAAACAACTGTAAGAACCTAATATATGCTTAGCAACATTCCCAGATCAAAAGCTGAAGCGATAAACCCATGTTTCAATATGTCCATGCTGAATCTGCACTGATGCACTCAAATTTTGCATAATTACTCTTTAACAATATCAAAATTGTCTCTCTATTACCGCCCATTCCTCAATGCTGCTCAATATTAGCTGGAAATGATCCTACTTCCATCATGTCCTGTAACCCCCCCCCCCCCCCCTCATGGGTAAGATCCACTACACCAAGAACACACAGCCCTGCAACAAAATTATATGGTGCAGAGGTTCCTGCACCAAAACCTGATTCATCGAAAGAGGGCCTGTTTTTCTCTGTACACAACAAAGCCGTTTTTATGATATAATTTTCCTAACAATGCAAACTGGACTAGGAAATGTAATCTGTTATATCCCAGTTGCATATACCATTTGTTAGTGAATAAAGCAATATATAGCTGTATGTACTTCATGCATGTATCCACTTAAGTTTTCAAAAATCGTCTTACTCAGAGGTTGAAAAATACAGGACGCAAGCTTAAGAGAGAAGCAAGGTCTTGGTGCTCGGCTAATAACCACAAGATATCTGGCTCTATGACATAACCCTAGCTGAGTAGATAAGATTACAGTATCTATTCAGGGAGACAGTTTAACTGTGTGTCTTATAGCAATATTTGATGAATAGGCAGTGTAGGAAGCTTTCAGCAGTATAGCTGACCACTCTGGCTGGCCGTAAACCAATGATAAAAGCAAGTCATGCTTCTAATTTTGAATAATGTGTATAATAATTGGATGTTTTCCGAGCCCCTAAGATATGTTAATGGCAGCCTCCAGTGTGTGGAGGCAATTATCACACACCAAATATTTCTCACTCACTGGAAAATATCCCTACAATAGAGCACAATTGGTCATTGTTATGCAGATTACTACAGCTGCACCACTGTCATTGTCAGATGGCTATTATGGTAGGTCTTGGTTCTCCAACAACACAATCATGGCTTCATATTTTGCCACCCGTTAAAGTTTTGTGCCATTCTGTCGCCAAACTTTCACCACATGTGATAAATAGATTTTCAAGTTGAAAGGGAAAGTTGCATATTTTGTATGTACATGGTAAACTGTATTGGGATGGGTAGCTTTTGTAATTGGCGTCAGTTGTGACTTTGATCACAGGACTTTTTTTCCCAACAAATATTCTATTCATCTGTCCTAATAAAGGAGACATTTCCCAAGAAAAAAATAAAAAATCACTGTAAATTCACATCCAGATTAATTAAAAAAGTTAGACATTCACCAATGTGCCAGTGAAAGCCTAAAATATCACTGTAAACTACAGAAATAAGTTACTTTTTCACCAAGTATAGTTACCAAAGCTCTTTTCTTGCAATCATACAGATCAAGATAAATTAGATAAGCAAAACAACTGTAAGAACCTAATATATGCTTAGCAACATTCCCAGATCAAAAGCTGAAGCGATAAACCCATGTTTCAATATGTCCATGCTGAATCTGCACTGATGCACTCAAATTTTGCATAATTACTCTTTAACAATATCAAAATTGTCTCTCTATTACCGCCCATTCCTCAATGCTGCTCAATATTAGCTGGAAATG